CCCCGGCTCTGGGTCCGGGGGCTGCCGAGGCTGGCAACCCCGCATGTGGGCGCTCTTCGAGGATCCTTACTCCTCCCGGGCTGCCAGGGTGAGTGGCAGGAGCCTGGGTCTCCTCTCGGACCTAGACTGACTGACTTTACCACCGCCTCCTTCCCAATTCCCCCTGCCTTCCATGGGCCCCCAGGGGAATCATACCCCCCCACCCGCCCCTGCACGCTTCATCAGGAGACTGCACGCATTTGACTTACTACTTGGACCTAATCCCAGCTCCTGCTTTTAAGACATCCCCTCTCAGTGAGTGGGGTGCCTTTAGCTGAGCTCCTCCACCCCCTTCTTTCTGCACAGGCGGTGGAATGGTAGAAACATCTACCCCCTATTCCTCTGAAGGACAGAGTCCTGGAGAGCTGAAATGAAGCCTTATGCTGGGGTTAGGTCGGGTTTGGGGGAGAAAACTAGTGTAAGTGCCTACTCTAGTGGGTCACTGGGTTTGCTGCTTCCTTGATCCCACCTTGTTGAAATCCCCCAGGCAGCTCAGTGTGCCAAGAACTGAGTTTTAGAAAAGGGAACAGAGGCTTCAGCCTCTTCAGCCACCATGACAGGCAGAGCTGGGACCAGAACCCAGGTCTCTTGCCCAGGTTTGGGAGAGGCCTTCTTTTTCCCAGGGATAAAAGTCAAGATGCCTGCCCCTGAGGCTTCCAGGACTCCTGGGTTGTCCTGGCCTCAGCTAGGCTGGGGGTAGAGTCAGACAGGAAGAGCCTAATGTTCCGGGCCCTTCCGGCTTCCACAGCCAGTGGCCAGCCACAGGCTGCCTGGGGATGATCCTAGATTTGTTGCTGCTGCTTTCTTCCTGCTGCAGCACAAATTGGCTTCCCAGAAAGCCCTGGTTCAGGTTACTGCTTGAAATAGGTGTATGGGTATGGATGGGGGAAGAGGTACAGGTTGATTTATGCAAGATTTAGTCCTTTCCCACCACCCGCTCCCCAAGTCAATCCAGTTTTCCCTAACCCCCTTAAGTGGAAGGGGGCAGTGGGGGAGATAGGTTTGAGCATCTGAAAAAGAAAAAAACAACCAAAAAACCCCTGAAGGATGATTTAGATTCTTTTAAAAAGAGAACCCTGGGGGTTGTGCCTAATCTCATGGCTGGCAGCCCCAAACCGTGGCTGGAAACCTGATTGGGGTCTGTCTGGGAGACAGGAAAGAGCAGTGTGATGTGTTGGGTCTGGGGAACCTCCTCCTGCTGTGGAAGCTGGTAGTTACCTCTGGCATCCAAGTCATCACGTTAATGAGTCTCAGAGCCCTGCCACCCTCTCCAGCACCTCCTGGGCTGGGCTTCCACGCAGTCATGGAAGGAAAAGTTCCACTGCCCTCCCACCAACCCCCCAGGGGAGGGTAGGAGATTGGGAAGTAGGGCTGCAGGGAGGGGCCAGGCTGTCATAAATGCTTGACCAGGGTATATGCATCTCCTTCCTGGAAGGGGAGGGAGGAACAGAGGGCCCAGAGACTGAGGCATACCCATCCCAGGGCAGCCACCGTAAGGCAGGGAGCTTTTTCGGGACTGGGAGCAAAGCTAGGGTGCTACTTCTGTTTCTTCTCCCACAGCCCTGGGACTGGCTCAGAAAGTGAGGGCAAAGTGAGGCCCTGGCCTGGGTCAGCTGTGAGTTTCCCGGGCTTCTCACACAGTTCTCTAACCCTGCCAGTGTCCGCTCTTGGCTGTGCGCACTGAGGCGAGACAAGTGCAGGTCATTCAGGCTCTTTCAAAGTTGGGGATTGGGGGAGGAGGCGGATTTAACTTGATGGAGATGGGGAAACAGGGCAAGCCAGGGAAGGCAGGAATGAGACAAGATGGTTAGGGGCCCTATATCTGAGCATTCTGGAGCCTCTGAGGACTTTTCACCTGCTTGGGTTCTTCCCTCTTGGATTCCAAGGGGCTAGACCATCAGAGAGTGTTTTATCCTCAGCTCTCTGCAGAGGGATCCAGCCAGGAGCTCTGCAGATAAGCTCAGAGCCTAGTTGGCCCCTCGAAGTCCTCCAGGAGCCCTAGATACTTGGCCCTTTGGATGTGGGCATTCCAGCTGAAGTCAGAAGTTTGGGTCTGGGCAGGGTAAATTCTTTCCGTTGAAGTAACAAAGAAACCAGGATTCCGAGATGTTAAGCATCTTGTCACAGACACTTAACTAATAACAGAGCCAGCAAACCATCCTGAACTGCCCACCTTCTGGGGGTTAATACTTATGTGCACAGCTGGATGGAGCTTTGGTGGCCCTCACACCAGAAGGGGACCTGCCTCCTGCTAACAATCACAGGCAAAGGCAAGCCTTCAGCTGTACCTGGGACACACAAGTGAGAATACAAAATTTTAAAAATTAATAACTACTGTTTACTGAGCACTCCATGCAGGTACTTTGCAGTAATCGCTAATCCTCCCAGTGAACTTACAATGGGGGTATTATCGCCGTTTAAAAGACTGAGGTTGTGAGAGGGTGAACAGCTTGCCCGAGGTCACACAGCTAGAGAGTGGTGGGCTGTGACTCAGAGCCAGGGCTCTCTGACTCCCCAGCTCTTGCTCTTCGGATGCTAACCTGTTCTTTCTACTGAATGAGGCTGTTTTTGAGGTGGAGAGGTACCTTAACGGAGGTACTGGGGACTGAACCCAGGACAGTGTGCATGCCAAACATGCGCTCTCCCACTGAGTTTATACCCTTTCCCTCTGGTGGCTTGTTTCTTACTCTGGTCTACGAGGTGTTCTGAGGTTCTGTGCCTCCCATGGATGACATCAGAAAACCCAAGGGCGGATGGGGACATCAGAAGGGACACTTACTCTGTTACGCCTTCAGGCCTGAGGGTCTGAAGTGCAGGGGTTCTGGCGCTGTGCCCTCCTTGCTTTTGTTTACCCTAGGCCAGTAATCCCTCCCCACCCCCATACCTAGCACTGTCCCCTGGGTCTGTGTGCACACCTTTCCTCCCTCCCTGGGGGCCTCCGCCTGCTGCCTCCCTGGAGGGGGCCCACAGCACTGCGGTGGGCTTTGGGTGCTCACTGAGGGCCAGGAAGGGCAGAGGAGCAGTGCGCTGCCCTGGGCATCTCTTTGCATACAGCAGCCGGTCATTTGAGTAGTGCGTTATGACAGGAGCCAAACTGATACGAACAGAAAGTGAACTGAGCTGATGATGGGAGCCTGTTGCCTAGCTACCAGCCTGGCCTGCAGAGCCATTCCCATTAGGGGAGGCCCTGCCTTGGGGTGCTCACCCCTGCTCCTTCATTGTGGCTGGGCCCATGGACTGCTGCTGCTGTGGTTCTGTTTCTGTAGCCTGACCTGGGAGCAAGCACGAGGGGCAGACTGGTCTTGTCCCCATCTGCCCACTGCGCATGGCCCAGGCAAAGTCAGGGCTCAGCAACAGCAAAGATGGCTTCCTGGACTGAAGGAGACCAGTCGGGGTTTGGGCAGCATCCTGAGCTCAAGAATCAGGCCTTCCTCCTGAGGGCAGACAGGAGGCCTGATGAATGGGCCCTGGGACACTCGCCTCCCTCATCCTCAGTCTCCAGAGGTCCCAGGGACTGAGCTGGCTTTAGCCCAGTTTTCAGCTCTATTAAGGATGGTAGTCCTCCTTTGGCTAAATCAGTACCTGGACTGAGTTTTCTCATGATGTTTCCCTTCTGAGTAGAGGAAGTGATCCCACAGGATCCCTCTGCCCCAGGAAGGCAGCTGGAGCTGGAGTTTCGCATTGATTGGGCATTCACTCTCAAGTGCTGTCGCCTGCGCTTTTTTCTAATCTCTGACCCATGGGAGGCAGAGATTATTAACCTCAGTTTACAGAGGAGACAGAGGCCTTGCTCAGGATCACACAGCTGGTAGTAGAACTAGAATCCAAGCCCAGATCTTGTGCATCCATGTCTGTGTGGTACCGTTGCTTCAGCTGCCCCCTGTGGCTTCTGCCTGGAATGGCCTCTGACTTCAGGACGGCTGGGGCGGGGGCTGGGGGGGGCTTCTGCTCTCCGCCCAGCTCTCCTTCACTTCTTCCTCCAAAACTAAAGCCCCCGTCTCCTTGCCCCCCAGAATTGCTTATACCTGAGCCTGCTTGCTTGCTCTGTATTTCCCCCACTGTGAGGCTCTCGTAGGACAAAAGGAAAGGAGGCTTGGCTGTGAGAGGAGACTAGGTGTTGCCTGGCCCAGGCAGAGGACTGAAACTGAGGCCTTCTAGGAAGGAAATGCCGAGCTCGCTGCCTGCTCACTCCTTCTGAAGGTCCCAGCTTCTCCAGCCTGGGTGTTTGGGACAAGCCTGTCCATGAGTGAGGGCCAGGATTCGTGGTCCTGCGCCCTCTGGGTGAGAAAGGGCCGGGAACCTGAGCCCAGGAGGCTGGGTGCCCCAGCTTCCGCAGCAGCAGGGCAGTGTCAGCATGCCCTCGGGCCTCTCCGCCACCTCCTTCCTGGGAGCAGGAGCAATGTCAGGCCAAGCGCTGCAGGCCTCCCCCTGACCCTGCCCTGAGGCAGCCTCTCAGTCTCCTCCCAGGTTTGTTTTCTGTTTTCCTCTCTTGTTCTGAACAGACCAACATTTGTCTCCGAACTTCTTGTCTCTGGATGATGAGGTGTTTCTGTTTGTCACCGTTTGGGGTAGGGTGTAAATGGGGGGAGGGATCAAATAAACCTGGACTATTTTGGAGAGTTGGGGGAAGAGCAGGCAGGAGCAGGGTCAGGCAGCTGGGCCTTGGGAACGCGGAGCGCCCAGAGCCCTCATCTCTGCCCATGGTCAGTGTCGGCCTGGGATGCTGGGCATCAGGGCACTCGTGCGATCTTTGTTTCTGGGCAGCCAGCCTGCCACGACCCGGCCCAGCTCCCTGCTGGGGTTCTTTTTGGGCTGAGTGAAGGTTACCAGCCTCTGGCAAGAGTCCCCACCAGGCAGAAGGCTTGGCCCACCCTGGAGAGCCGCAGAGTCTGAGAGCCCTGGTGCCTGGGGGACTCCAGGGCGGGCATCCCTTTGTCACCTCTAGTCCCAGTTGGTGTGGCTGATGATCTGCCCTTGTGACAGGCTCCCTAGGACCAGGAGAGGGAGCAGGCAGTTCACCTTGGCTTCTGTCATTCAGAAAACATTTAT